ACACCGACACCGGCAAACCATTGGGACCACATGCTCAGACATATGTCAATCAATGTGGGTTCATTGTAAGGGATAGGATCCCAGTTAGTGCTCGTAAATGGAAGTAGAAGATATCCGCTCCTAATGTTAGTTTTGTATCTGATCGTGACAAGAACCTAGCTTGGAGAGATATCACTCAGCATTTCACATTACAAGCAGATGATGCTTTGAAGGAACTAGTGAGGGATTGGACAATGAAGAAGATGGCAACATTGTTCCAGAGTTGGAAGAAGACATTGTATAAAAAGTTTATCTTGAAGAATGCTACGCCGGATTTCAATGCTAAGGCGTTTGTCAAGTTGGAGTCCCATTGAGATGCCTTCGTAGAATACAAGACATCTCAAGACAGTGAGGAACATGTGATGAGGAATCGGCAAAATGCCCGACAGAAGCAATACCATCATCGCATAGGATCAAGTGGTTATAGGAGTGCTATTCCCAAGTGGCAGAACCTAGAAGCAGAGATTACTGCCAAGGGAATCATACCTGAAATAATAGAGAAGAACTGGCCTCAACGCGCGAAGAATTGGTTCTACGCTCATGGGGGAAGCCTAGACCCAGACACTGGCAAGCTAATTTTTGGCCAAAAAATTGAGAGAGCAACACAGAGACTAGCTCGTGCTAGGGAAGAAGCTGATAGTGGTGTTTTCAAGCCCAACAGAGAGAAGGATGAATTGACATATGCCCTAGAGAATCCCAAACACGGTGGTCGAACAAGAGGCTATGGGGCGGTTCCGTGGCTACACGCATTCCCAGCAGACAAGGATACCTACAGAAGCCGCCAGAGAAAGAAGGATGAGGAGGCAGAATGAATCCGTGCATTGGAGTAATTTGTTGATGAGTCACGACAAGCATTGCTTGAATCACTTGAACGAGAAAATTCTCTTGAGGCAAGAATGCATGAGGAGATCAAGAGGCAAGTGCAGCTAGCAATGAGTCAAATGCAATCACAATCAACGCTGGGAGTCACCATTAGCCCTGTTGATCAGATGAAAAGCAGTTGTGCTTCTACGGAGCTGCCAGTTATTCAAGACGACGCTAGGTTGCGCTTCCCTGTTGATGACATTACCGAGCCTCTAACAACATGTGAGCTGCACATTCCAGATGATAATAATGCATCAATCATGGTGGCTGTCGGGGTTGTATCTCCAATAGACCGAACGAAGACACCAAGAATCCATGGGTCAGTTATTCAACCTGGATATGCTAGCGCCTCGGTCGATAGAGTGCTCAAAGGTTACAGCAATGTTCCTCTTGACATTGAAGGCGGTGATGGGGAGAAGACACTAGGAGAAGCAGAGAAGACATTTATTCAATGGCGCAAACGCTTCATCATCATTCCTGGGGCGCCACCGCTTCCCCTACCTCACCCTAGGTACGAATGAAAGTGAATGAAATATTATTTTCCATTAATTTTCTATTGGCTTCAAAAATAATTGACACACAACTTGTTTTTGTAGCAGGGTCTCCCCCCAGCCTAGCCTAATCATTCATTCCCCATCTCATCACAGCGTCGCGGGGGGCGAGACGACTTCATCCCCACGGCGATCGCCAACTCCTACACCGGCCCCATCGCCTCCACAACGATCTCCAACTCCTACACCGGCCCCACCGCCTCCACAACGATCTCCAACGCCTCCACGCCGGTCTCCACCAACACCGGCCTCATCGCCTCCACGCCGGTCTCCAACACCGCCCCCACCCCCTCCACAGCGACGCACTACAAAGACGTCTAAGGTCCCGGCGGCAAAGAAGACCCCGAGAAAAAGAGTTATTTCTCAAGAAATACTTCCTGAAAAGACTGATGAGCAAATAGCAGCTGAAGAAGACAAAAAAGTGAAAGATTTTTTTATAGATATCAAAAACAAGAGTCAAGCGAAGCTTAAGGAGAAGCCGTACTTTTACATACCACGAGATGTGCTGAGGCAGAAGGTCGATGCTCACAAGAAAAAGATGATTGAACTTCGTAAGCCTTCGCCACTATCAGACTATGACCGCTCCCTCGTGAAGTCACATGATGCAGATAAGAAAAGGAAAAGAGCATCAGGGAAGGATGTCCCACAGCTCGGACAACAGAAGCAACCAATGCAAAATCTTGTTGTTGCTAATGAATATGGTTCCAACATAGAAGTCTATCGACCAGACAACTCTGGAGAAGTGTCGGTTCAAGCCCTTAATGCTTTTTTTGAAGATACTGGTTTAACCTTGGATCAATTGACGGGCAAAGCTCCAATCCAGAACCTGGAAGTTGATACCTGGAAGACTTATAAATATGGCAAAAGTCTGTACAACCCTGCGGCTCTGAATGAATTGGGTACGCAAATGTACTTGCTCAACAAGTGGTACATGCAGGCGTGTGGCAGGGGTGAGCAGTGGATCTTTGTCAGATTTAGAGACCATCATTACTTCCGTGGTGATGACATCTTACATATTAGTTTCGAAGAATTGCATCAACTATACCACTTGGACGCTCTGGACAAATCAATCATTAGCTCCTTTTGTTTGTAAGTGATTCTTACTTTTATTTAATAAACTCACTTCCATGCGTACGTGTATATAATTATCCTCACATGTAACTTATATTTATATACAGATTCCAGATGTCAGAGCTCCAAAGAATACAAGACACCAGTGTTGGCTTCATTGATCCTTATATCGTATTCAAAACCGATATTATTCCCAAGGAGCAGTGGGTATCTGAAGCACAAAAGAATATCATGAGGTTCTTCGTGAAGCAGCATGACAAGACAACAATACTTTTCCCGTACAGCTTTGAGTAAGTGTTAATAATAATATAGTCTACACATTTTATGTAATATCAATACAACTTATATGCATGTACGTGTGTGTATAAACCAATGTAGGTTTCACTGGATACTCATTGTCATTGAGTTAAACTCAAGTCGGTTAGTAATCTTGGACTCAAAGAGAAAAGAGCGGGCACTATACCAAGATATGATAGACATTATCTAGGGGTAATTTCGATCTCTCGCGCACAACTATTATTGAATAGACTTTGTCATAATTTATTAACGATCGTACATTATTGGTCGCACAGGGTTTGGAAAGAGTTTATTCGGCAACACCGTAAGGATTGCAAGGCACCACTTAATGTAGTTGAAATACCAGTAAGTTGTACTATATATACTTCCCCACGTGTTTAATTACTATATTGTATGTCAATTTACGTGTGAGATGATGAGAATAATTTTCTTCTCGTACAGTGGTGTTTGCGATAGCAACCAGGTAATAACTTGTGTGGATACTACGTTTGTGAATTTATCACTGCGCACATAAGAAGAACTCCTAAAGATGTCCTCAGAGTACGTATATATCAATTTTTTATTTATTTTTAAATGAATATATATATATATGTATGTATTAATACTTTTCCTTTTATTTCAAATGCAAGACTGAATGGTTGAAACAAAGGGTCATGCAAAAAGACCATCTAAAAGCAGTTCAAGAGTCAACAGCAGGATTTCTTCTAGAAAAAGTGCTAAATCCTATCGGCGAGTTCTACTTTGATCCTAAGGAATAAATGGTGTAAATTAAATGTTTATTGATATCGTTATTTTCGAGAACAAGATTATGAAAGTGTTGTATATATACATATATATATATATCTATAATATATATAGGTTCATACTTTATTCGAATATAATAATGTTCAAGATGAGAATTAGATGTAATTATATGCGTGCGTGTATTTATATTAGCAGCATAGAATACGTACATAAAAACATATTATATATTAAACAAATACGTGTAACTGAACTGAAAACAAATTAAACAAAAAAAAGAAAAAGAAAAGGAACCTTTAGTCCCGGTTGGGGTTACCAACTGGGACTAAAGGGTGCGGCCACGTTTGCTCGGCTGGAGGGCCTTTAGTCCCGGCTCGATGACCCGGGACTAAAGGTGGCACCTTTAGTCCCGGGATCGTTGTCCCGGCGCGGTAACCGGGATTAAAGGCCGTTACCGCCCGGGACAACAAGTCCATTCTATAGTAGTGATTTGAAACTATTTAAAAGTAATGGCTAACAATATTAATAACAATATATAAAGAGAATTTAATTAAATCTATATAACTAATGTCTGTAGTTTAATATGATTAATTATGTTAATTTCAATTATATGACAAAGATGAGCTACCTGATCAGTTGTATTCCCTTCATATTCATCCTCAACAAAAAAAATTATAGTAAATAGTGACATTTCTATTCGATTCAATGCGTATCTGACCATTTCCCACATTCCACCCCTAGCCAGCATAGTGTCTTTTAGAAATGCTCATAGAGATGAACTATATTTGTGTGTGCATTGTGCGCATGCATGCATGTATATATGTGAATGCATGCATCTATACCATGTTTAAAATAAACTTCATAATGATATGCATTTAAATATGCTTTCTCAAAGGATAATCTAGCTTGTGATTCCTCGAGAGGATAACCTATTACATTAGGCTAACTTCTGCCTTTCTTTAGGCCTTGCTTGGATGTAGTCTCGGATTCACATCAGTCCATATGTGTTGCAGTTGATTGGAGTAGAACTTGAACTAAATTTCACCTCAAATCCACCCCAACACATGTGGATTGAGGTGAATACTATAACATTCAAACAAGACCTTAAGGATAACACATCTTGAACAGTACTGCATCAAACAAGATAGGTCCACTCACAAAAAATAAATGTCCGTCGTTTCAAGAACGGAGAGAATATATATACCATACTCCTTTAATTTCTAAACTTTTTTTACTAGAAGATAACTACAATAATATATTCGCAGAAATCTAAACATGCATGACTCACAACAGATAATTGGAAACAGTACAAATAAATGTACACTACTTGATGGAAACATTGTGCACGGGTTACAGCTTGCAATGATGTTACAGAAGTATACAAGCTGCAATCTACAATCTACAAGTTGAAACAAATTTAACAAGGCCTTAGTTTAGCTATTGCCCAAGTCCAGCTATAATATTGGAACCATAATAAGCTCCTACTACTCCATAGTCCACACAAGATGAGTTATCCTTATCAAGGGAGCAGAAGCTAGCTAGCTCCCCGGCCAAATAGAATAAGTCATTGTTGGGTCTGAATTAAAAAAAAAAACTCGTGCGAGGATAGAAGCTAAAATCCAATGTACCAAAGATATGCTTATCTGAAAAGTTGCTTTTTTTAGAGAAGCAAAGACCCAAAAAAACCGTGTAAGCAGAAGGAAGCTGACCGAGCTATAGTATTTGTACTTTGTAAAAGGTGTCATGATGGATTCGAAAACGGATGATCATAATCTTTCACGACGAATTAATCTGCTAATATGGTGACTTAGCTAGAGTACGTTGGTGATGCATTATGAAGTTCCATCAAAGATACATACCTTGGATATTCAGCATAGAGGATATTCTTCTCACCATATTTCCTCCAGTGGAAACGATCGTTTTCTGGTGCCTCAGTCAGTATCTCCTTGCTGAATAACATGGATGGAGGAGAAAGAGAATGTAATTTCACTGCATGACTTTTTACAAACTTTCCTACCTATATAACAATGAAATATTGATCCTCGCCTAATTGAGCATTAAGCGCACATGTATGGTATAGATGTGAACTTGGACAGAATAAGATCCAGAGACACCTAACTAATATATTCTTCCTTTTTGTAAATTGTAATGTAGATCTGGAAAACTCTAGGCCTAAACTATTAAGTACGTTCCATTTTTCTTAACGCGTCGCTCTCAAAAGCGAGTTATTAATTAACTAATGGAACAAGGAAGTAAACAGTAGTAAACTGTGACGTGAATTAGTTCCCTTAAGCCCAAATAAGTTTATAACAGATCTGCAAATTAACTCTCATTTTCCCATATGCAGATCCACATAAAGTTATATGCAACTATGCAAGTTATATGTCTTAATAACACCACTTACTGTAGCTTGTTGGCTTGTAGCATGCAAGACGCAGTAAAAATCATAGGTTTGTAGTACTCACATCGGGAGTTCAGCTCCAGCTCTGCCTCGGCGGTGCCTCACCTTTCTTGTACAGGGCACGGGACCGTTTCTGTCCCGCCTGCTGGTGCCTCCGTCGGAGTAGGCTGTGGGCGCAGCCATGACCTCGGAGACGAAGGGGTGCTCCATCTCAGACTGGAGAATGGAGAGCGACGACTCCATAGCCATGGATATTTGGCCCACGTTGACCACTGCAGCGTGACGGCGGTTAGGCTCCGGGATGAGCTCTACCTGCTGCCTGAGAAGCTCCGCCAGCTGGGTACCCCTCCTGAGCTCCTGGATCGCTGCGTGCCTCGGGCTGGAGGAGGGCGGCGGCTGCGGTGGCGACAGCGTCATGGAGTTGGAGCACGTCGACAAAGGGGGGACACTCTTCAAAAGGTGAAGAAGGAAAAATGTGAAAGCTCCGGGCTGGGACTGGGAGCCGGCGGGGTCAGAAGTTTGGACAGGAGCTTGTTGTGTGTAATGCAACCTTAATTAGAGGAAAGCAAGGGCTCAACCATTGACCATAGAGATAGGCAGATAGCGCAACAACTAATAAGAGTATGTACGGGCCGGACTGCGGACTTGTTATTTTAATTCTGGCTATTGATTAAACAAATCATATCCGTCGATTAAAGAGTATTAATTGCGTGTTTAGGTGCAAGTGTACGTTACAACCGTGTATGTCTCCGATTCTGGTGTCCCTGAGAATATATACAGCTAACCATGCATACTTGCATAAAAAACACTTGCCAGTTGCCACCATATTATATATTATTTGTATTAGCCTATTTGGCATGGTAATCCATGCATCAAAACAAAATGTTCAAGTCTGTCAATCCTAGCTAGCGCAGAACACTGACCAGATTCATAGGGGTGAGTGTGTGCATTGCGAGTATCAGCATTGTGCTATGTAATCGCAAAAAAAAAGAACACTGGCCTGATTATCATATATAAAGCATAAATTTAGGGTTGGCAAAGGGGCCGTTCAATATGTTAGATAATAGGTATTTTCATATTTAATTTAATCCAGAAAAAATAGTAACAAATATTTTTGATGACATGTATGTACATGTGTAATTACTACTACTCGCAATAGAAGTAACGGTGGCATACAAGCAAAACAACATACTTATCAAAGCAAAAACCTTACATGAATACAAAGATAGTAAGAATAGAAATATACCCTGTGGTAGTGCCAGAGGCACTGCGACGCCATTCGCACTAGTCGACATAGTGCGTTGCTTAAAGTAGTGGACCACAGGTGATGCAGGTAGATGCTCGCAGTATAGTTCCACAAATGGCCACTAGGAAGACGATGTATAGCTAATAGAAGGTATTGGTTGTTGGGAAGAAGACATGGCAGAAGAGAAGCAATCACACAAGATCATTGTGCTCCCTAAAAACCTAATTCGCCCGCACACCCAAGCAGGTGTCGTAGGTGGGCGTCGGTTCTAGAGGCCTGCCATCCAATTACTGTTTGTGCAGAAGACTAGATTGGGCAAAACTCGGAGCAACTCGACAGAGAAGAGAGGGTGTGGTTTCTGTGTCTGGTGCAAGGCTTATGGTTATCTCTCGTACTTATGTCCGAGTGGAGGAAGCCGGAGCGTCAAGAGGATGCACCTGGACAGTAGCGAAATTAGTGAGAACAGACGGAGCGCAAGGCTTCTAGTTACCTCTCATACTTATGCCCGAGCACAGGAAGCCAAAGTGTCAGGAGGATGCACATGGACGGCGGCGATGTTACTAGAAATGGATGCACAGAGTAATCATGGAGGAAGCCAGAGCGTCGAGAGGATGCACATGGATGATGGTGAAGTTACCAAAAACAGACGGACAGAGTAATCACAGAGAATTACAATAAAAACTCTCGCACATCAACTACTCCCGTAATTGTCAAATGGAAGGAGGCAAAGTCACTGGGAATGGATGGACCGAGTAATTACGGAGGAAGCCAGAGCGTCGAGAGGATGCATATGGATGGCGGCGAAGTTACCGGTTATATACAAACTGTTGTGCACTAAGTAATCACTGAGGAAGCCGGAGCGTCGGGAGTAATCAAGGAGGAAGCTGGAGCATCGAAAGGATATGCACATGGACGACCACAAAGTTACTGGAAACAGACGAACGAAGTAATCACGAAGTACGGATCCAGTAATCATGGAGGAAGCCGGAGCATCGGAAGGATATGCACATGGATGACAACAAAGTTACCGAAAACAGACGGATGACGAAGAAGCACACTGGCACATCGAGAGGATACACAAGGACAGTGACAAAGTTACCGGAAACGGAAGAAAGGAGTAATCTTGGAGAATATGGAGACTAGGTAACTGCTGAGTTGATGACTCCATCAACCAAGCTCAAGTGGAAAAACCAAGGCCCGACTTGCACCGCATCATGCTGTGGAGTAGGGCGGCACAAGCTCGTGCATGTCACATGCTCACGCTCACTACTCCTCAGGGGCGGCGGATGCATGTGGCACGTCCTTAGTCTCTCTCAACTTCTCAATAGGAGCACACATAGTCCACCTATTTAAGTTAAGTCAACGTTTAGTCAAAATTCCATACAGAACTAAAACTATATAATTGCACCTTAGCATTTAATATGTGCCTAAGGATTTATTTGACTTAATTGAGTTAAAATTGGGCCAAGCCCACATTAAATCCAACACAATAAACATATATTCGGCAAGAGGGTTTATGGATTGGTTCAACATCCTCTATGAGGATCCTTGTATGCCTAGCGAACTTGGCATTTGTAAGGCACAAATTCAACATTGTGGACAGCCGGCTACAAAGTGGCGCACTGATCCAAGGGAATGATTATTGAAGAGTTCAAGTATCACAAGCTTGGATACACATACACATTGACATGGTGGCATTTTTTTGTATTAACAAAAGGGACTAGCTAGTGGTTTTTTTTTTTTTTGAGAAACAGACTAGTGGCTAATGAAGTGTGACAAAAACGACGGTAGGTGCATGGACCTGACCATGACCAACAATAACTGTCCCAATTTCTCACGGTTCAGTAGGCAGGTCACTTCTTTTTTTTGAGCAAATATAGGAAGATCACTTCTTTTTAAATTTATAGAGAACACACAGAAAAGAACAAGATATAGAACAAATTAAAATAGCCTCCATTCGAGCTAAAGAAGATTGAAATGTGAAAGAGAAGCCTCCTCAAAAAACTGAGATATGCCACTTTCTTTTATTGTTCATTTTGGAACACCCTTGTTAATTATTAGCCATGCCTTATGCGGCGGTCTACCACTGATATATATTTTTTTAAGTTGAATACCCTACCATTCCACCAACCATTTGCTATTTTCCATTCAGTTTCGTTCCAAAGACCAAGTTTTTGAAAAGAAGCTTTTTAGAGAGGGTTATTGGGAGAGAGTTGACCTGACTTAATGTGTGTGTGTTCGTGGGGTGGGTGGGGTCTCTAAACTCTTAGGTCTAGCTTTATATAACCTATATATAACCTACGTAGATGGAACCCAATAAACGAGTCTCTAGGTGCAGTTTCCTTAACGGAACCACATTTAAAAATTCTAGGGACGGTTCAAGAGCTACAGTGCTCTCTGCTATAGTTACAAGCACTTTCTTATGTCATCCACCTCTGTTAGAAACATGAACCATTGTAAAAAAAAAGATTTCTATAGTAGTGACGCTTGGTGATTTTTTTATACTATAACACATTTCATTTTTATGGAAGAATAAAATAAAAAAGAATCACCCTTAGCTTGTAACTTCAATTTCCGTACTGAAAGTTGCTGACTTTCCGGACAAAAAGAATGGTAACAAATCATGTGTAGAGATACTTATGGTGTGATGGCCTAAGCGCAAAACCAACGCTCGCAGCAGTAATGTTAGCCTCGTCTCAAAAGACGCGAAGACTTGTGTAGATTGGGACTTTAATTTTTATAACGCAGGCTACAATTTCTACTCTCTTCTGACACCATCACTATTCTCTCTCACCTCACATGTCGTTTTCAAGAAAACGCTTTTACAGTCTATCATCCATTTACGTCCATCATCCATCTCCTTTTCAGCAGAGGCTGTAGCTTTTTCTGACGAGGCGATAGTCAGGGCTTCTATCTGCCTACCTCTCTCTCTTCCAAACGGCATCCGATCCTACGTGTCCCTGCAAAGCTGCTGTACATGGTGGAGCGTTGGGCACGGCCTAATTAGCTTTCACATGATTTGTAGTGATGGATGAAAGTTTTTTCTTTAATTGGAAAGACGCAAGAGTTGTAGAGAGCGATGCCGGCAAAAGCGGCAAAATGCAGTGACTAGTTATATTTATATCACACGCTAATTAATGACGATATCCCTGCGGCGTCAGGACTGTTACGTCACTCGGGTAGCGTCAGCGGCATGACTAAGAAGCTCCCAATACTTTGAAGCCCATGTACGTGTCTCGTGCCGGTCGGTTATTTAGCTGTGTCACGTCTTGTGGAACGGGGAAGTATGTGGAAAATTATTATCAGTTGCCTTTGAGCACAAATGGACTTTTGATGCTTTCTTATTATTCAGTTCAGGTGACGCTAGCATGGCGGCACAAATGGAAATTATTACCACAGCTAGCATGGTGGTGGCACTAGCTATTATATTATTATTATTCAGTTTTTTTTACAACAAACAACTTTATAATTAGCAGCAACGCGCTGCAAGTATTGTTACACCAGTTAAGCCTACAGATTGTAGTGCTTGTAGAACATTGCAATGAGGCATATGATACTCTAAAGAACAGGAGAATTCCAGATCAGAGTTCTGGAAAGTGGAATGTTGCACAGCTTGGCGGGCCAGAGCGTCGACCATGGTGTTGAGGCGCCTGTGGACCTTGAAGATGTTGGATGAACTGCTTCTTGTGAAGTTGGCGAAGGTTTGTGTGTAATACTTGATTCTCCAGTCAGGCAGATTGGAGATATCATTCTTGTTGAGGAAGTGAACTAACTGTTCATAGTCCAATAAGAAGTTAACACCTGAAAGGTTGAGGTTGTGACCGACTGCAGAGGCAAGGACGAGACTAGCAGGCGGCCGGCGCTCCACGCTCCGGTAGCAGCCTCCGCCATGATCACTGAGGAGCAATCATCAAGCCTGGCTTTGACATAGATCGCCTGGGGTGTCTGTTCCTGAAAATTGAGGATGAATACACCCAATCCAGCCGGTCTAGGATTAGAATTTTGTTGGTCTGGCTCGATGGATGCATCCACATAGCATCTTGTACCATGAAGCAGGGCCGGTATAGTAATCACATGGCTGTGCATCATTTGTGCCTCCTGTGTTGCAAGAGGCATACTTTGCCTACCTGGGCGAGTGGGCGACGTTGTGGTTGTGTCTGTAGTTTGGGGT